TTCCAGGAATTCTGGGCAGGAATTCTGGCCTGGAATTGCAGGAATTCCGGGCAGGAATTCCAGCAATCCTGGGCTGGACTGGGGCACTCCCAGTCCCACGACGATTTTCCCTTTTTCCCCTGGAATTGCAGGAATTCTGGGCAGGAATTCCAGGAATTCTGGGCAGGAATTCTGGCCTGGAATTGCAGGAATTCTGGGCAGGAATTCCAGCAATCCTGGGCTGGACTGGGGCACTCCCAGTCCCACGAGGGTTTTCCCTTTTCCCCTGGAATTCCAGCAATCCTGGGCTGGACTGGGGCACTCCCAGTCCCACACCGATTTTCCCTTTTCCCCTGGAATTCCAGCAATCCTGGGCTGGACTGGGGCACTCCCAGTCCCACAACGATTTTCCCTTTTCCCCTGGAATTCCAGCAATCCTGGGCTGGACTGGGGCACTCCCAGTCCCACGAGGATTTTCCCTTTTCCCCTGGAGTTCCAGGAATTCTGGGCAGGAATTCTGGCCTGGAATTGCAGGAATTCCGGGCAGGAATTCCAGCAATCCTGGGCTGGACTGGGGCACTCCCAGTCCCACGAGGATTTTCCCTTTTCCCCTGGAGTTCCAGGAATTCTGGGCAGGAATTCTGGCCTGGAATTGCAGGAATTCCGGGCAGGAATTCCAGCAATCCTGGGCTGGACTGGGGCAGTCCCAGTCCCACATGCATTTTCCCCTGGAATTCCAGGAATTCTGGGCAGGAATTCTGGCCTGGAATTGCAGGAATTCCGGGCAGGAATTCTGGGCAGGAATTCCGGGCAGGAATTCCAGCAATCCTGGGCTGGCCTGGGGCACTCCCAGTCCCACGAGGGTTTTCCCTTTTCCCCTGGAATTCCAGCAATCCTGGGCTGGACTGGGGCACTCCCAGTCCCACGAGGATTTTCCCTTTTCCCCTGGAGTTCCAGGAATTCTGGGCAGGAATTCTGGCCTGGAATTGCAGGAATTCTGGGCAGGAATTCCAGCAATCCTGGGCTGGACTGGGGCACTCCCAGTCCCACGAGGGTTTTCCCTTTTCCCCTGGAATTCCAGCAATCCTGGGCTGGACTGGGGCAGTCCCAGTCCCACATGCATTTTCCCCTGGAATTCCAGGAATTCTGGGCAGGAATTCTGGCCTGGAATTGCAGGAATTCCGGGCAGGAATTCTGGGCAGGAATTCCGGGCAGGAATTCCAGCAATCCTGGGCTGGCCTGGGGCAGTCCCAGTCCCACGAGGGTTTTCCCTTTTCCCGGCGCCTCCCGTCGAGCCGTTCCCGGCGTTCCCGCGGTTTTTCCCAGGTGTTCTGCGTGGGGCTGTGGTGCCTGGACGAGTTCTGGTACTACAGCGTCTTCACCCTGTCCATGCTCGTGGCCTTCGAGGCCTCGCTGGTGCAGCAGCAGCTCCGCAACCTCTCGGAGATCCGCAGGATGGGCAACCGGCCCTACATGATCCAGGTAAAAACCCGGAATTCCGGGGGCTCCTGGTGCCTTTCTGGGGCTGTGGCTGCTGAGTTCCACCCCAAAATGGGGGTTTTAGGAGGTTTGGCCTCTTTATTTTCCTTTTTCCTGGGTTTTTCTATCCCAGGAAATGGGATTTTTGTGCATTTATGGGGTTTTTGGGACGTTTAGCCCAGTTGTTTTCCTGTTTCCCATGGTTTTTCCATGCATTCTATCCCAGAAATGGGATTTCTTTGGATTTATGGGATTTTTTGGACATTTAGCCCAGTTATTTTCCTGTTTCCAATGGTTTTTCCCATGGATTCTATCCCAGAAATGGGATTTTTGTGCATTTTTGGGATTTTTGGGACGTTTAGCCCAGTTGTTTTCCTGTTTCCCATGGTTTTTCCCATGGATTCTATCCCAGGAAATGGGATTTCTTTGGATTTTTGGGATTTTTGGGACGTTTAGCCCAGTTGTTTTCCTGTTTCCCATGGTTTTTCCCATGGATTCTATCCCAGAAATGGGATTTTTGTGCATTTATGGGGTTTTTGGGACGTTTAGCCCAGTTGTTTTCCTGTTTCCCATGGTTTCTATCCCAGGAAATGGGATTTTTGTACATTTATGGGGTTTTTGGGACATTTAGCCCAGTTGTTTTCCTGTTTCCCATGGATTCTATCCCAGGAAATGGGATTTCTTTGGATTTTTGGGATTTTTGGGACGTTTAGCCCAGTTGTTTTCCTGTTTCCCATGGATTCTGTCCCAGGAAATGGGATTTTTGTGGATTTTTGGGATTTTTGGGACGTTTAGCCCAGTTGTTTTCCTGTTTCCCATGGTTTTTCCCATGGATTCTATCCCAGGAAATGGGATTTTTGTGCATTTTTGGGGACTTTTTGGGACGTTTAGCCCGGTTATTTTCCTGTTTTTCCACAGATTTTGTCACAAAATTGAGATTTTTTTTTTTGAGTTTTTTGATGCCTGTTCCTGTTGTTTTCCTGCTGATATTGGCCAAAAATGGGAATTTTGGGGGGAGGGGGGTGTCTTAGGATATTTTGGGGTTTTTTTTTCCTCCATTTTGTGTCCGTTTTCCTGTGGATTTCCCATCAGTTCCATCCCAAAAATGGGGAATTTTTTTTGGGAATTCTAGGTCTACAGGAACCGGAAGTGGCGCCCAATTTCCAGCGACGAGATCATAGCAGGGGACATCGTCTCCATCGGTAAAAAATGGGAATTCCCTTGGGAAAACACCCCAAAAATGGGAATTCCCAGTAGGAATTCCATGGGAAACGTATTTCAAATGGAAATTTCCACAGATTTTTGTGGATTTTTGGGATTTTTGGGACGTTTAGCCCAGTTGTTTTCCTGTTTCCCATGGATTCTGTCCCAGGAAATGGGATTTTTGTGGATTTTTGGGATTTTTGGGACGTTTAGCCCAGTTGTTTTCCTGTTTCCCATGGATTCTGTCCCAGGAAATGGGATTTTTGTGGATTTTTGGGATTTTTGGGACGTTTAGCCCAGTTGTTTTCCTGTTTCCCATGGATTCTGTCCCAGGAAATGGGATTTTTGTGGATTTTTGGGATTTTTGGGACGTTTAGCCCAGTTGTTTTCCTGTTTCCCATGGATTCTGTCCCAGGAAATGGGATTTTTGTGGATTTTTGGGATTTTTGGGACGTTTAGCCCAGTTGTTTTCCTGTTTCCCATGGATTCTGTCCCAGGAAATGGGATTTTTGTGGATTTTTGGGATTTTTGGGACGTTTAGCCCAGTTGTTTTCCTGTTTCCCATGGATTCTGTCCCAGGAAATGGGATTTTTGTGGATTTTTGGGATTTTTGGGACGTTTAGCCCAGTTGTTTTCCTGTTTCCCATGGATTCTGTCCCAGGAAATGGGATTTTTGTGGATTTTTGGGATTTTTGGGACGTTTAGCCCAGTTGTTTTCCTGTTTCCCATGGATTCTGTCCCAGGAAATGGGATTTTTGTGGATTTTTGGGATTTTTGGGACGTTTAGCCCAGTTGTTTTCCTGTTTCCCATGGATTCTGTCCCAGGAAATGGGATTTTTGTGGATTTTTGGGATTTTTGGGACGTTTAGCCCAGTTGTTTTCCTGTTTCCCATGGATTCTGTCCCAGGAAATGGGATTTTTGTGGATTTTTGGGATTTTTGGGACGTTTAGCCCAGTTGTTTTCCTGTTTCCCATGGATTCTGTCCCAGGAAATGGGATTTTTGTGGATTTTTGGGATTTTTGGGACGTTTAGCCCAGTTGTTTTCCTGTTTCCCATGGATTCTGTCCCAGGAAATGGGATTTTTGTGGATTTTTGGGATTTTTGGGACGTTTAGCCCAGTTGTTTTCCTGTTTCCCATGGATTCTGTCCCAGGAAATGGGATTTTTGTGGATTTTTGGGATTTTTGGGACGTTTAGCCCAGTTGTTTTCCTGTTTCCCATGGATTCTGTCCCAGGAAATGGGATTTTTGTGGATTTTTGGGATTTTTGGGACGTTTAGCCCAGTTGTTTTCCTGTTTCCCATGGATTCTGTCCCAGGAAATGGGATTTTTGTGGATTTTTGGGATTTTTGGGACGTTTAGCCCAGTTGTTTTCCTGTTTCCCATGGATTCTGTCCCAGGAAATGGGATTTTTGTGGATTTTTGGGATTTTTGGGACGTTTAGCCCAGTTGTTTTCCTGTTTCCCATGGATTCTGTCCCAGGAAATGGGATTTTTGTGGATTTTTGGGATTTTTGGGACGTTTAGCCCAGTTGTTTTCCTGTTTCCCATGGATTCTGTCCCAGGAAATGGGATTTTTGTGGATTTTTGGGATTTTTGGGACGTTTAGCCCAGTTGTTTTCCTGTTTCCCATGGATTCTGTCCCAGGAAATGGGATTTTTGTGGATTTTTGGGATTTTTGGGACGTTTAGCCCAGTTGTTTTCCTGTTTCCCATGGATTCTGTCCCAGGAAATGGGATTTTTGTGGATTTTTGGGATTTTTGGGACGTTTAGCCCAGTTGTTTTCCTGTTTCCCATGGATTCTGTCCCAGGAAATGGGATTTTTGTGGATTTTTGGGATTTTTGGGACGTTTAGCCCAGTTGTTTTCCTGTTTCCCATGGATTCTGTCCCAGGAAATGGGATTTTTGTGGATTTTTGGGATTTTTGGGACGTTTAGCCCAGTTGTTTTCCTGTTTCCCATGGATTCTGTCCCAGGAAATGGGATTTTTGTGGATTTTTGGGATTTTTGGGACGTTTAGCCCAGTTGTTTTCCTGTTTCCCATGGATTCTGTCCCAGGAAATGGGATTTTTGTGGATTTTTGGGATTTTTGGGACGTTTAGCCCAGTTGTTTTCCTGTTTCCCATGGATTCTGTCCCAGGAAATGGGATTTTTGTGGATTTTTGGGATTTTTGGGACGTTTAGCCCAGTTGTTTTCCTGTTTCCCATGGATTCTGTCCCAGGAAATGGGATTTTTGTGGATTTTTGGGATTTTTGGGACGTTTAGCCCAGTTGTTTTCCTGTTTCCCATGGATTCTGTCCCAGGAAATGGGATTTTTGTGGATTTTTGGGATTTTTGGGACGTTTAGCCCAGTTGTTTTCCTGTTTCCCATGGATTCTGTCCCAGGAAATGGGATTTTTGTGGATTTTTGGGATTTTTGGGACGTTTAGCCCAGTTGTTTTCCTGTTTCCCATGGATTCTGTCCCAGGAAATGGGATTTTTGTGGATTTTTGGGATTTTTGGGACGTTTAGCCCAGGTGTTTTCCTGTTTCCCATGGTTTTTTCCATGGATTCTATCCCAGGAAATGGGATTTTTGTGCATTTTTGGGGACTTTTTGGGACGTTTAGCCCGGTTATTTTCCTGTTTTTCCACAGATTTTGTCACAAAATTGAGATTTTTTTTTGAGTTTTTTGATGCCTGTTCCTGTTGTTTTCCTGCTGATATTGGCCAAAAATGGGAATTTTGGGGGGAGGGGGGTGTCTTAGGATATTTTGGGGTTTTTTTTTCCTCCATTTTGTGTCCGTTTTCCTGTGGATTTCCCATCAGTTCCATCCCAAAAATGGGGAATTTTTTTTGGGAATTCTAGGTCTACAGGAACCGGAAGTGGCGCCCAATTTCCAGCGACGAGATCATAGCAGGGGACATCGTCTCCATCGGTAAAAAATGGGAATTCCCTTGGGAAAACACCCCAAAAATGGGAATTCCCAGTAGGAATTCCATGGGAAACGTATTTCAAATGGAAATTTCCACAGAAAACAGCCTGATAAAATGGGATTTTTTAATGGGAAACGCCCTTCAAATGGGGATTTTCATGGAAAAGTCCTTTGAAAATTGGAATTTCTTCCCTCTTTTTTTGCTGGAACGAGCTGGAATTTTGAGGATTTCCATTTTCGGGGAAATCCCCTTGGAATTTTCCTGGGATTTGCAGGAATTCTGGGTTGGACTCTGAGGTTTTAGTTCTGGGATTTTCCCCTGTTTTCCTGGAATTTTCTGCTTTTCCACCATCCTGCCATCAAATATTTCAACTCCCTGAATTCCCAGAATTCCCGGAATTCCAGGGGCTGTTTTTTCCCCAGATTTTCCCTTCTCCAAACCCTTTTCCTACAGATCCAGGGCTGGAAAAGTGGGTGGGAAAACGGGAAAACCGTGGGTTTCGGGGTGGGAAAAACGGGAAAAATCGATGAGTTTGGCTTGGGAATTTCGGGAATTCCGGAAATTTCTGCCCTCAGGCCGCTCCCCCCAGGAGAATTTGGTGCCCTGTGACCTCCTCCTGCTGCGGGGCCGCTGCGTGGTGGACGAGGCCATGCTGACGGGAGAGTCCGTGCCGCAGATGAAGGTGGGGAAAATGGGGAAAACCGGGGGGAAAGCGGGAATTGGGGCAGAATTCCCACCTGGAATTCACACCTTGGGACTCCCACCCTGGAATTCTACACCCTGGAATTCCCACCCGGAATTCACACCCTGGAATTTCCACCCCGCGATTCCCACCCCGCAACTCACACCTGCAATTCCCACCCTGGAATTCTCACCTGCAGTTCCCACCCTGGAATTCCCACCCCGGAATTCCCATCCTGGAATTCCCACACGGAATTCCCACCCACAACTCACACCTGGAATTCACACCCAGAATTCACACCAGCAATTCCCACCCTGGATCTCCCACCCCGGAATTCCCACCCTGGAACTCCCACCCCGTGATTCCCACCCTGCAGTTCCCACCCTGGAAATGTCCCACAGGGACCATCCTCCTCAGGGAGCAATTCCCAGATTCCTGCCCAAAGCTGGGGATCCCCAGCCTGAAATTCCCAGGAATTCCCTCAGGATTTCCCGGGGGGATTTCTTTGGGAATTTCCTGAGTGGATGTCCTGGGGGATTCCTTGGGATTTCCTGGGAATTCCCTGGGATTTTTTCCCTCCCCAGCTGTGGATAACGGGTGCCTGGCCTACGCCCTCCGCACTGGCTTCAACACATCCCAGGTGAGCTGGGAATTCCTGGGAATTCCAGGAAATGGGGCTTGGGAAGAGGGAGGAATTAAGGGTTGGGAAAAAGGAGAAGGTCGGGAATGGGAAGAATTCCCAAGTTCCAAAGGAATTCCAGGCTTTTCCTTGAGTTGGAATTCTCATTCCATGCTCCTTTGGAAGGAATCCCATGGAATTTTTAAGGAATTTTGAAGGAATTTCCGTGGGATTCCTGACCAAAGCTGGTTTTCCAGGGAAAGCTGCTCCGGACGATCCTGTTTGGGGTGAAGAGGGTCACGGCCAATAACCTGGAGACCTTCATCTTCATCCTCTTCCTCCTCGTCTTCGCCATCGCCGCCGCCGCCTACGTCTGGATCCAGGGTGGGAATTCCGGGAATTCTGGGGTCTGGGGGAGGGATCCCCGAGGGATATTCCCTGATCCTGACCCCATTTTTATCCTGTTTTTTCCCCCTAATCCCATCGTGATCCCATTTTTTCCCATTTTGATCCCGTTTTTTTCCCGTCTTAATCCTGTTTATCCCGTTGTGATCCCGTTTTCCCGTGATTCCCAAGGCACCAAGGACCCCCGGCGGAACCAGTACCGGCTGTTCCTGGAGTGTGCCCTGATCCTGACGTCCGTGGTGCCCCCCGAGCTGCCCATCGAGCTCTCCCTGGCCGTCAACACCTCCCTGATCGCCCTGGCCAAGCTCTGTGAGCGTTCCCAGGGAACTTTGGGAATGCTGGGGATGGTCCTGGGAGCTGGGAAGGGAGCCGGGATGGAGTTGGGTTGGTGTGAGGGGTGGAGGGAGTGGAGTGCCGTGGGAATTTCTGAGGATTTTTATTTTTAATTTTCCCTCAGAATCCCCGATTTTCCCATCAGAATCCCCAATTTCCCCTCAGAATCCCCAGTTTTCCCCTCAGAATCCCCAATTTCCCCTCAGAATCCCCGATTTCCCCACAGAATCCCCAGTTTTCCCTCAGAATCCCTGATTTTTCCCTCAGAATCCCCGATTTCCCCTCAGAATTCCTGATTTTCCCCTCAGAATCCCCAGTTTCCCCTCAGAATCCCCGATTTCCCCTCAGAATTCCTGATTTCCCCTCAGAATTCCTGATTTTCCCCTCAGAATCCCCGATTTCCCCTCAGAATCCCCGATTTCCCCTCAGAATTCCCGATTTTCCCCCAGATCCCGCAGTTTTCCCCTCAGCATTCCCGTTTTTTCCCGCTCTCCCAGACGTTTACTGCACGGAGCCGTTCCGGATCCCGTTTGCAGGGAAGGTCCAGGTTTGCTGCTTTGACAAAACCGGGACCTTGACCAGCGACCACCTCGTGGTGCGAGGGGTGGCCGGGCTCAGGTGGGTCCTGATCCCGAAATTCCCGCTGGGAATCTCGGGGGGTTCAAGGGAGGGGTGGGGAATGGGCTGGGAATACAAAATTCCCAAAAAAAAACCCCCTCAAAAATCCCACGAGGTCTTCACGGAATCCTCACAAAATTCCTGGCGAGAAATAAAAATAGGAATTTCACCAAAATCAGTTTAAAGGATCCTCCCAAAAAATCCCACAAAACCCCCCCCAAAAATCCCACAAAATCCCCCCAAAATCTCACAAAATCCTGCCAAAATATCCCCCCAAAAAACCCACAAAAGCCCCACAAAAAATCCCACAGAATCCAGCAAAGTCCTGGGATTTTCTTGTGGGATTTTTGGTAAAGATTTTTTGGGATTTCACAATGACTTTTGGCGGTGTTTTTTGTGGGAACTTTGTGAGGATTTCGTGAGGTTTTTGTGATTTTTTGTCACCTTTTTGGGCTATTTTGGGAGGATTTTGTGAGAAGATTTTGGGGGATTTGTGAGACATTTTTTGTGGAATTTTTTGGTGAGGATTTTTTTGGATTTTTTGTGGGATTTTGCGCTGGGATCTTGTGAAATTCTGTGTGTATTTTCAGGAGGAATTTGTTTTGCTTTTTGTGGGGTTTTTTGTGATGCTTTTCTACAGGATTTTCACGAGATTTCACAGCATATTTTGTGGAGTTTTTTGCAGAATTTTAAGCGTTTCACCCACTTTTCCCCTTTCTTTTCCTCCTAACTCAATTTCCCACCAACCCCCTCCGCAAAAACCCTTGGGGACGATCCCAAAATCCCAAATTTTCCCTCAGGGAAGGCAAGGAGGTGCTGCCGGTGTCGGAAATCCCTCTGGAAACTCACCGTGCCATCGCCTGCTGCCACTCCCTGGTGCAGCTGGAGGACGGGAGCATCGTGGGCGACCCTCTGGAAAAAGCCATGCTGACAGCCGTGCCCACAAAACCCCCCCCAAAAATCCCACAAAATCCCCCCAAAAATCCCACAAAATCCCCCCAAAATCTCACAAAATCCTGCCAAAATATCCCCCCAAAAAACCCACAAAAGCCCCACAAAAAATCCCACAGAATCCAGCAAAGTCCTGGGATTTTCTTGTGGGATTTTTGGTAAAGATTTTTTGGGATTTCACAATGACTTTTGGCGGTGTTTTTTGTGGGAACTTTGTGGGGATTTCGTGAGGTTTTTGTGATTTTTTTTGTCACCTTTTTGGGCTATTTTGGGAGGATTTTGTAAGAAGATTTTGGGGGATTTGTGAGACATTTTTTGTGGGATTTTTTGGTGAGGATTTTTTGGGATTTTTTGTGGGATTTTGCGTTGGGATCTTGTGTTGTGATGTGTGTATTTTCAGGAGGAATTTTTTTTGCTTTTTGTGGGTTTTTTTGTGATGCTTTTCTACAGGATTTTCACGAGATTTCACAGCATATTTTGTGGAGTTTTTTGCAGAATTTTAAGCGTTTCACCCACTTTTCCCCTTTCTTTTCCTCCTAACTCAATTTCCCACCAACCCCCTCCGCAAAAACCCTTGGGGACGATCCCAAAATCCCAAATTTTCCCTCAGGGAAGGCAAGGAGGTGCTGCCGGTGTCGGAAATCCCTCTGGAAACTCACCGTGCCATCGCCTGCTGCCACTCCCTGGTGCAGCTGGAGGACGGGAGCATCGTGGGCGACCCTCTGGAAAAAGCCATGCTGACAGCCGTGGACTGGACCCTGACCAGAGGTAAATCCCAAACCCCCACTTCTCCCTGGAATTCTGAGGCGTTTCGGGTGGGAAAACCCGGAAAAAGCTCGGGGGGGAAAACGGTGGCGGCTTGCCGCAAAAAATTGCCCCCCAAATCATCTGAGAAAAATCTCGAAAATTCCGCAAAATCCCCCCCCAAAAAAACTCCACAGAATCCTGCAAAGAATCCTACAAAATTCCCATAAAAATCTCTCAAAATTCCCACAAAAAAACCACAAAAATCTCTCAAAATTCCCACGAAAAAACCCCACAAAAATCTCAAAATTCCCACAAAAATCCCCCCAAGGATCCCATAAAACTCTTCTGCAAAGATCTCTCAAAATCCCCACAAATAAAACCACAAAATCCCCCTGAATTCCACCTGAATTACCCAGAATTCCGTCAGATTCCCTCAATCCCCTGGAACTGTCCACAATTCCCACCAAATTCCTCAGAATTCCTCCTGGATCCCCCTCAAACCACCCCAAATTCCCTCTTTTCCCCCCCCCATTCCCGATTCCCCCTTTTCCCTCCCAGCACCCCCTTTCAGGATTTCCTGATTTCCTTTGTTTCCAGATGAGAAAGTTTTCCCGAGGAGTCTAAAAACTCCGGGAATGAGAATTCACCAGCGCTTTCATTTCTCCAGTGCCCTGAAGAGGATGGCGGTGCTGGCTTCCCTGGAAAACGCCTCCGGAGAAATCCGATACCTGGCGGCCGTCAAGGGCGCTCCCGAGACCCTGCACGCCATGGTGAGGGGGAAAAATGGGGGGAAAAACGGGAAAAAAGGGAATCTGGGAATGCCGGGAGACCAAAATGGCCGCCCCGTGCTGAGGGGAAAACGGCCCAGAGCCCGCAGGAGGGGGGAATTCCAGGGAAAAACAGGGATTTGGGAATGCCAGGAGCACAAAATGGCTGCCCAGGCCCTGTGGGGAGGGGGAGATTCCAGGGAAAAGCGGGAATCTGGGAACGCTGGGAAGTCGGGGAGATGAAAGGGGGTGGGGACTGTAAATTCCAATGGAATTATCCTGAATTCCCTCAAATTCCACACGGATTCTTCCAGATCCCTGCCTCCCTTTCCCCTCAAATCTCCTCATTTTTCCCAATATCCCACGAAAACCCCCCGAGATTCCCTCAGATTCCTCACTCATGGAATGTTTTCCGGGTTTTTTTTCCCCAGCTGTCCCAATGTCCCAGCAACTACCACGAGATCCATCGGGAATTCTCCCACGAGGGCGCGCGGGTCCTGGCCCTGGGCTACAAAGAGCTGGGAGCCCTGAGCCACCAGCAGGTGAAAAAGTGGGAAAAACCCCGGAATTCCAGGCCTGGAAAGTGCTGGGAGAGGGGCTGGGAAAAGGAGAGGTGGTTTTTTGGGGTGGAATTTGGGGTTTTTGGGGAGTTTTTGCAGGGAAATTCCTGTTTCCTGCTGTCCCAGTGACCCTCCTCAGACCCTTCAGGGCATCCCAAAGGAGTTTTTCCAAGGAAAACTCTTTTTCTTTTGGGAATTTAGGATCACCCCAAGCTTTTAGGAGCATTAAGCTCATTCCAGGGATGCTCCAAATCCCAGGAATCACCGGTGGGAGGAGGGATTTGGCTTTCGAAGGGATTTGGGAATGCTGAATCCGGGATTTTTTGCTGTGGAAAAGGTGCGGGAGATGAAGAGGGAATCCCTGGAATGTGACCTGAGATTTGTGGGATTCATCCTGGTCTCCTCCCCCCTCAAAGCCGACTCCAAGGCCGTGATCCGGGAGATCCAGAGCGCTTCCCACCACGTGAGGAATCCTGGGAATTCCCGGGTTTTGGGAGGATGGGAAAGGGGTGAAAATGGGGGAATTGCCAGAGGGGTGGATGGGGCTGGAGGGAGGGGAAAACCGAGAATTTCCAGGGTGAAAAGCGGGAAAATTCCAAGTGGAAAACAGGGAAAATTCCAGCCTGCCAACTGGGAAGTATTCGTCTAAGACCGGGAAAACTCCAAGTGGGAAATGGGGAAAATCCAAGGCTGAGAACTGGGAAAACTCCAGATTGAAAAAGGGAAAATTCCAAGAGGAGAACCGGGGAAAATCCCAAGTGGGGGAAGCGGGAAAAGCGCCGGATTTGGGAACGCTCCAGGCTGAGCCCCTCCGGAGGGGGTCAGGGCTGGGATTTTCCCGGAACTGCGGGAATTGCAGGTGGTGATGATCACGGGGGACAGCCCGCTGACCGCCTGCCACGTGGCGCGGGAGCTGCACTTCCTGCAGAAGGACAGGATCCTGATCCTGCAGCCGCCGGAGCGCCCCGGTACCGGGAATGACAGCGGGAATCACGGGGGCGCTGGGAGCCACGCCGGGAACGGTGGGAGCGGGAACGGTGGGAATGGGAACGGTGGGAATGGGAATGGGAATGGGAACGGTGGGAGTGGGAACTGTGGGAGTGGGAACTGTGGGAATGGGAATGGGAACGGTGGGAATGGGAATGGGAATGGTGGGAATGGGAACGGGAATGGTGGGAATGGGAACTGTGGGAATGGGAACGGGAACGGTGGGAACGGGAACGGTGGGAACGGGAACGGTGGGAATGGGAACAGTGGGAATGGGAACGGGAATGGTGGGAATGGGAATGGTGGGAATGGGAACGGTGGGAATGGGAATGGGAAAGGTGGGAATGGGAACGGGAATGGTGGGAATGGGAATGGTGGGAAT